ACTCAGATGGATGGACAGACAGACAGATGCACATTTCTAAAATGTGTAGTAAGGTAACTAGACTGGTAATTCAACAAAGAAAAATCTGGGCTCCACATACCCAGTGAGTCACTTCTTCAAAGCGCTGACAATTGAAACTGCTTGCATGCCATATTTATTGATTTGTGTAGTTGAAAATCACTATTCTTTTTGTATGCAGGCTGTAAACCTGTCCCCCTCCCAAGTGATAGCATTCTTTTTCATGCACTACAGGTCTACTTGAATCTTGTCAACAAGTGCAAGAAATATGACATGCAGGCAGTGCACAGAGTATTAGCAGGATGCTAAATGTGTTGGGTTCTTTTAATTGCTGGTCATTTGTCCAAAAATGTATGTATATAGCAATTCATAATTTTATTTGGCACTTGAAAGTTTTGTATAGTGTTTTCAATAGCTAATTTATTTCACATTACTCCAGTGTAATTTTCATCTGCTGAGACTACCTATGTACATTAAGCTAGCTGAACAGTGGATGGATACAGTGTAGGTTTTAGAATGCAAAAAGGGCAGTTTCAAATGAAATATATGTTTATAGACAGACTTTAAATATACTGTCGCGATCCATTAAACATTAGTCATATAGCCAGAAGAAAAGGTTAAAGGAGAAGGCAATGCAAATAACATTGCCTTGACCAGCATGCCTGGGACAGTGGTAGTTAATGCCACTTGGTATATTTGTCAACGTATTATTTTTGCATGGCTCATATTGTTAGTAGTGAAGCAAGCTGGTCAGTTTTAGTGACAATGTCTGTAGCCACATGACCCTGGCTGAGGGCATATGTATGATTGTTGCTGTTTTCTCCTTCTTAAAGCAATGCCCAACTAAAGTGAGTCCTGACACTTATCTCCTTCAAGTTAAGTCACCTAGTTTCTTGCTTTATAGTCTCTTTCCACTCAATAGGTGCTCAAAGAATGTGTGCTTATCTAACTTGATGCTGTCGTGCTACTTTTGCTGCCAGATATTACAGCCACTTAGTAAGTGATGAAAAAGAGCAGTATCCTTTACATTTCTCCCCAGCACCCTCTTTGTGTAAATCATCCTAAAGCCAGTTTTCCACAGGGGTTTTAATTTTAATTGACTCGAAGAGTGAAAATATTCCATGAATTTCCACAATTTATTAGTCAGATACATATACAGTGCTCTCATTTGAGTTTGTCCTAGAGATTCCATTTGTCCTAAAGAGCACTGTGCCTGTGTAATCTCAAATGAAATTGTAGTATTCCTCCCCTCGAATGGTGAGATTTCATAAAAGGTAATTTAGCTGTTTGATAATTCACCAGTTTCTTTACCACATACCTGTATGCATTTGCTCCTGATGAGTGTTTTGAAGAGATATATTTGTGCAATATACATAAGTATGCTACATCTCACAAATTAGGGAACTGCCCTCTCAAGTTTGGGTCCTCTTATAAATTGGGCATCCTAGAGTTGTTTGAAGTGGGCTACTGAATATATAATCACAGGGCTTTTCTGTGGGTGGGTTTACATCCCAAGAAGTTAATCTTATGGGTTTCAAACCTGTGGCTGATATCTGTATGATTTCATAGGACACCCTGGAATTGATAATACTGGCTGTGCAGCTCCACTGCTGGGGTGATAAATTCTCCCCATTATCTTCCGTTCTGTATATTCACTTGAGCAGAGGCTGCAGCCAGAGTTTTCCCCTAGCTATTAATTTTTTGTATTGTGGTTGTTATATTTGATAGGCTTTCTATATGGCACAATTGTGTAGCAAATACAGATATTTAAAACAAGCTGAAAACAATTCTGATGAATTTTAGCCATATGCCCCAAACCGCTTTACTACTACTCCATATTTGGGCTACTGATTGGGACAACATGCATTATATAAAATAGGAGAGAGCACCTGCTACCAGAGAATGCCTCCCACTAGTTGTCATTAAAAATCTGATCACCTGTTTCTATTTGTTTTCTTATCAGTTTCCAGATTCTCAAAAGCTGCCCAGGCACAGATATGAGAATCCAGCAATTGGTTAGCTCTGTTTGCCTAGTTGATTCAGTCTGGGTGACCAATTCTGCACAGTTCCCTGCAGGTCTGATTACTTGCACCACAGTAACAACCTTGAGTGAAGTAACTTTTTAATACTAACTTTTTTAGTACCAGTGGGTGGAGTGGAAACAGGATGAACATCAGTGGGGTGGGAAGTACATAACATGGCTAAGAGAATTCTTGCTAGCAGCTGACAGGGAAAGTGACTTGGGTGCAAACTGGAAGTAGGGAAGAGACTAGAGGCTGTGAGTTGGAGACTATAAGTGAGAAGAAGGACACAACATTTGCATTTACTTAAATACAGAGGTAGAGAAAAACTAAGGAGGCAGGAGGATTTCTTTTGCAGAACAGGAAAGATGACAGGAGAAATGGAATTGAGGAGAGTACAAGGGAGTGGTGGTAAGGGATTAGGGGACAGAAGCAGTGGCAGAGATGGAGAACAGTGAGCTCATGAGGAGGGGACATGAAATAAAAATATGAAAATAAATGTTCAGGAAAAAGAGCTGAAAAGGGAGATAGACATTTGGGATGAAAGGGGAAACAAGGCATACAAACTCAGGGGAGGGGGAGAAATCTAGAATAGGAAAGAAGGAAAGAGAGACGGAAAGAAAAGGCATTATTTAAGTGGAAAGAAAAGGCTTTATTTAGGTGGAAATGAAGTAAATTATTAATAAATTAAATGTTTTAGAAAAAACATAAAATATTGTTGCCCTTTTGGCTGGAGATGATATTCATTATTCTGGGCCTTGCAGAATTGTTTCTGTTTGGAGAAACTGATGTCCTGAGTCAGGTATTTCTTTGGTGCAGTCCTGTTTATGTTCAGTGAATGAACACAAATTCCTGTTTCCCAGGGCATAGTAAAAAGTTACAACAGCAGGGAGTTTCCTTACTCACAGTTGCCAAGTCTATCTTTCTAGAGATTTTTTTGCATCCAAGAAGCTCTGTGTAGGGCACTGGTCCCCAACGTGGTGCCCGCAGGTGCCATTGCGCCCGCCGGGGCATTTATGTGCACCCGCCGAATGATCTGGGCTGGCCCTGCCCACGGCGCATGCACTGTGCCAGCCCCAGGCGTGCGGTGCATGCGCGGCCCCGCCCCCGGACGCGTGGCGCATGAGCAGCCCCGCCCCCGGACGCGTGGCGTGTTAGCCGTGTAGCCTTTTGCTTTGGTAGCTTCTGTTGTGTCCAGCTCTGTAAAGGACATTTAATTGTTCTGTTCATGTGCATGAAAGAAGGATGTTTGAGCCAGGTCTGTGATTGCAGCCATTAACATCTTCCAACATATCCCTGTATACAAAGGAGAAGTAATGAAACAGAACAAAAAAGGAGGAAAAATTTTGTTTAAAAATATGTGTAGCCTTTTGCTTTGGTAGCTTCTGTTGTGTCCAGCTCTGTAAAGGACATTTAATTGTTCTGTTCATGTGCATGAAAGAAGGATGTTTGAGCCAGGTCTGTGATTGCAGCCATTAACATCTTCCAACATATCCCTGTATACAAAGGAGAAGTAATGAAACAGAACAAAAAAGGAGGAAAAATTTTGTTTAAAAATATAATTACGGTCTAGTTTGTCTCCTTATGGATCTCCATGTGGAGGTCCTTTTTGTGTGGGACTTGCTCCCTGCCCATTCAGAAATGGGGCAATGCTGCCTCCAAGACATAACATCAGTTTCTCCATATCCTGCAGACTCCATGGGTCTGGCAGGTTGTCTAGTTTCTGCTTAATTTTCACCCCCATCCTCGAACATGTAAAAAGACAGTATAAATTACTGTAGACAGTTTGTTGTAACTTGCACTATTTCCCCTTCAGCTGTTTGAGAATATCCATAATGAGTTGGACTCTAGGAGCAGCTGAGGTCTGCGGAGTTACTGGCAGCTTGCCACTTCGATTTTTGTTACTGGAAGGGGGAGTAAAGTCTGTTTTCAATCCCTACGTGGAAAAATTCAAACTCCCATACTTTTTATGGTCATTCTCACACGGGGAAGAAAGGGCACTTTTAATTAACCCAGTTACTTTATCGCTTTTATTATAGTTCTTTAAACAGTATCATTTTACACACATTGAAAAAGGCCAACATATGTTGACGTTTTTGCCACACTATGTTACATGCAGATTGTTAGTATCCTCTTAGACTCCTTGTACAACTTTGAAAATAGGAGGCCAGGGCTGCTGCTTCGAAGTATGGGTAGGACTCTTATCGAGCCCAGTAAAAAAACAAACCCCAAAACTGGATTTTGAAAAAGCTGGTGGACCAGATCTGATGAGTGAGGTGA